GTCCAATGATGAGTCCAGAGATTTCCATATCAATCTGTTTAGAATGATCCCTTTTCTTTCTAAGAACCTTGGAGATGATAATCAAGACTACACACCACTGACATTTCTGAAAAACTGAACGTAACTGCACGCTATAACTGGATCATAACATAAAATGTTCACTTAAGGCATTTTAAACTCACACATTTGCTCTCTTTTCAGACTCTGACCTTTTGGTTGTACCCCACATGACAGGCATTCAGTGTTTATGTAACGTTTGAAAGTAAATCGTCAAAATGTTCCCTCTGTTAACCATGAATGAAGGATTATGTGTGCATCAGATCCGGTTTTAATGTATGTTCTGCTGTTTCAAAGATGCAGATAATCTGGAAAATAACTCTATCTCGGATTAAAGCTGTCATGGCATTTTACCTGTTGTCGTTTTGATTATAGAAAGTTGGGTTTTCTCATTCTTCACATCAAAAGGTGATTATTTTTTGGAGCTGAGATAAATCACCTGCAGGATTTGCCATAACTTTCTTCAGCTGAAAAACAAAACTAAAGTGGTTATTTTTTAAGCAAATAGTGAATGCTCAAGAGTCAGCACTCAGCTTCAGCTTTTTACTTTCATTTACCAGGCTTTAAAATACTAAATGGAAACAATCATCTGTCACTTTTTCATTTGAGTGTGTCACATGCCCCAAATGGCCAGAGGGAGACAGTTAATTTTTATCAGATGTTGCACAAATCATGACTTTCCAAGGCAAACTAACAAATAGACATCAGTTCCCACAAATGACCAACCAAATCTGAGTCCTTGCATGACCCAACAGCAGAAGAGTCAACAAGAGAAGCAGCCAAAGTAGAGCAAAGGGACATGACCCACAAACTGCCAGTGCTGACTCTGAGGATGATTCAGACAAAATTGGTACAGTTATTTCAGAAAAGTCTTATTGACTTAAGAACATGTGTTTATGTGTTTTTATGTGGTGATCAGTCAAGGTTCGTCTTTATCCATCCATCCAACCATCCATCCATTTTCTTCCGCTTATCCGGGGTCGGGTCGCGGGGGAGCAGCTTCTTAAGGGAGGCCCAGACTTCCCTCTCCCCAGCCACTTCTTCCAGCTCCTCCGGGGGAACTCCAAGGCGTTCCCAGGCCAGCCGAGAGACATTGTCCCTCCAGCGTGTCCTGGGTCTTCCTCGGGGCCTCCTCCCGGTGGGACGTGCCCGGAACACCTCACCAGGGAGGCGTCCAGGAGGCATCCTGACCAGATGCCCGAGCCACCTCAACTGGCTCCTCTCGACGTAGAGGAGCAGCGGCTCTACTCTGAGTCCCTCCCGGATGACCAAGCTTCTCATCTCTAAGGGAGAGCCCAGCCACCCTGCGGAGGAAACCCATTTCGGCCCCTTGTATCCGGGACCTCGTTGTTTCGGTCATGACCCAAAGCTCATGACCATAGATGAGGGTGGGAACGAAGATCGACCGGTAAATCAAGAGCTTCGCTTTTTGACTCAGCTCTCTCTTCACCACGACGGACCGGTACAGCGCCCGCTTCACAGCAGATGCTGCCCCAATCCGCCTGTTGATCTCCCGCTCCCTTCTTCCCTCATTCGTGAACAAGATCCCCAGATACTTAAACTCCTCCACTTGAGGCAGGATGACCCCCCTGACCCGGAGAAGGCACTCTACCCTTTTCCGGCTCAAGACCATGGCCTCGGATTTGGAGGCACTGAGCCTCATTCCAGCCGCTTCACACTTGGCCGCGAACCGCTCCAGTGAGAGCCGCAGATCACGTTCCGATGAAGCCAAAAGGACCACATCATCCGCAAAAAGCAGAGATGCGATCCTAAGGCCACCAAAACGGATCCCCTCAACACCTCGGCTGCGCCTAGAAATTCTGTCCATGAAGGTAATGAACAGAATCGGTGACAAAGGGCAGCCTTGGCGGAGTCCAACTCTCACCGGAAACGAGCCCGACTTACTGCCAGCAATGTGGACCAGACTCTGACACGTCTTCATTAGAATCTTATTAAATTAAGCAAGACCCCGATCAATTTAAAAGTCTCATCTTGGTTTCAATAAATTGTTTGAAATAATCTGGAACATTAGTTTTAGATTTTGATTTGGAAACTGATTTTGATGCATGCTGATGTAAACCTGGGATTGTTTAAATCTTGAACAATCTCACCATTAAGGCGACTTAAAATTCTAAATAAAACAAATTAAAAGAACTACAAAATGCTTTATAAACAATATAGAAAACAATGTTCATATTTTGTAACATAGTAACAACCTAATGTTTTTTTATACTGCTTTTGTTGTAGTTTGAATTTAGATTTTTATCTTTGTCAGGGCCTTTATAAACATTTTGTTCCTACAACTTGATCACTGAACAACGGAGCTTTTACTTCTATTTTCTCAATATATTCAAGTTAACAGACAGCTTATCTTTTATCCATATAGAAAGGTATTTTCTGTTATATGACAGAACTTTCTAACAAATAGTTTCTCCATTCCAAATGAGCAATTCTTAAATAATTCTGTCTTTTCCAAAATTGAAAATGAAAAAACGGAGCACTTTGAGAAATTGCTCCAGCCCTTAAAAGGTTTCATCCAAACTCTTTTATGGCTGCTCAGCTCTTGCTGATAAAGCTCTCCAGCTCGCCCTCCCACTCCCCCTCCGGGTCAGTGAGTCAAGCCCCATTTCCAGCTCCCGGTGCAGACGTACGCAATGCGGACACTCCGTTTGGCCGCGTGCCACGGCCAGATCATTTAAATTAAATTTAGTGGAGAGTTATTCTTTTGTGTAATTAGGTTTTTCTTTTTCTCTTTATGGCCGTGAGATGAAACGTTACTGAATTTGTCAGCTGTTGTATTTTTACAAACCTGACACAAACAAGGCAATTACATCAAGAATGATTTGTTGCGGTTGGAGCCATTTCATTGCTTCAAATTATTTTGTTTTGCCACATAACCACCCAGCCAGCTTTCAATAATAATTATAATAATAAAAAGTACACTTTTGCAAACCTCCGTACTAATGCATATTGGGTGCGGGCAGTATCACAGAAAATTTGGATGTTTCAATATTAATGCTGAACCCTTGCTTCTCTCTCTCTCTCTCTGTGTGTGTGTGTGTGTGTGTGTGTGTGTGTGTGCAGCAGCAGCAGAGGCATGATGTACTGCTTCCCCCTGGGAACATTTGTCTGGTTTCCCTCTAACGGCGAGAGAGGGAGGAGGTCAGTGGGATGAGAGAGGGCAGCAGAGACAGGAGAAGACAGACTGTGTGCGATGACGGACGAATGGCAGAGGCTTAATTGAATGAAAGCTTCTTCAGGTCTCGGATGCCGTAAACAGGGAGGAAATTTAAACCAGGGTCCTACGCTTATTGAATCCCTCCTGAGGGCTCGCTAACCTCTCCGTCTTCTTTTCTATCTGGATCGCAGCTGCCTCGTTCTCCGCCGTCTATTTAACCGAAGCTGAACCCTCGGCTTTCTCTGAAATCAATCTACACCTAAACTGATTAGCGGTGTTTGGATAGAGCAGCGTGCATGAGGGGGCGGTAATTTCAGGCCCAGCTAAGCCCCCCCTCCTCTCTTCACCGTCTGTGCACTGCTAGCGCACACAGCATATTCCTGATGAAGCATCCTGCTGTTTAAACTCTGGCTGATCTGTCTCACTGAGAGCCCTAAATCAACCTTATAGGCCATTTCAGAAATTGCTGCCATTAGGAACTGCATGCATACACGTTTTCCCCTCTTTTGAGCTCTAGAAAAGAAGATTGCATGCATTGCATGCATATTTTTTGCTGATCCTGTAACTTTAAAATGAAATTGCACAGATAGACAATGAAACTTTATTTGCCTGAACTCTCATGACCTGTTTTTTTATTCTTGTGGTAAATTTAAACATCAAAAAATGCAAATTTAACAACTTCTGACTTACTAGTGTGTACAAAGAGCAAAAGCATTCAAACCCATTAGACTATTTTCACATTTTGTGTCACTTTCAAACCCCCAAACCTTAATATGTTTTCTTGAGAACCAACTCAAAGTAGTGTATGATTATGAAAAAAACTTTTGCACTCTTCCCTCATTACCTTTAAGTATGATTTTGTGCAACTAATAGTTTTCAGAAGTCACCAAATTAGTAAATATATTCCACCTGTGTGTAATTCAATCTGTTCTGTGACGGTCTAAAGGGATTGTTGGAGAACATTAAGGAACAATCATCATCATGAAGACCAATGAACACAGCAGACAGGTCAGCGAGAAAGTTCTGAAATACTTTAAACAGAGTTAGATCAGAAATCAGAATATATCAGACTCTAAACATCTCTCTGGAAAAAAAGAAAGAAAATCAACACATCGCCACCAGGACAGTGAAAAATGGCAAATGACAGTGAAACATGGTGGTTGCAGCATCATTCTGCTGGGATGCTTTTCTTCAGCATGGACATTTAAGCCAATCAGAGTTAATAGGCAGATGGATGGAAGAAACACGGAACAACAAAAGAGACTGCAAATGACTTTAGCTGAATTTGGAGATTATCTTCCAGTGAAACAGCGACCCTAAGAAAACAACCTGACAAAATTGAATGGTTAGATCAAAGCATATTTAGACTGACACAGTAGATGAAAGTTTGTGGCACAGCTTGAGAATTAATGGCCAAAGTCTTTTAATCTGGACCAGCTCGTCATTTTGTGAAGAACAGGCATATTTTTCAGCTAACACACTGCTGACACACACATTAACTACCAAAATCTGGTAAAGCCCAATTTGTCTTCAATAATCAGTTAACCTCGCTTTAAAATATACAATTTTATCTAAAATTTGTAAAAGAAACTGAAAACGTAATCAGACATGGAATCAGAGAAACATAAAGATCTTCCTACAACTGGTGATAAAGTTTAGTGTCAAGTCCTTAAAAATTTACTGAAGTAAAAGCCTGTTTGACTTTAGCTTGATAAGTTATACTTTTTCTAAGTACTGATTTAACCATTTAAAAAACAAGAGTTGTAAAACTGTTAGATAGATGAATTCACCAGCTGTTCCCGTACAAGTAAAATTGACTAAAACCGTCATAAAAATCAAAATGATTCCTTAAGATTCAAAAGGATTACAGTGATGATTTTTAGGTTTGTCTTACAACTTGCCTACACTTTACTTTACTTAAAAGGTAAGTAAAATAACATCTGATCCAAAACATGTAACAATGTGTAACAACACATTTGTTCCCCCAAAACATAAAACATCTGGATTAGTAACCAAAACTCTTTTCTTAACTTAATAAAGGGATACATAAATCAGAAACATGCCTAACTCCAATTTATTTTACATTATTTCTAAAAAAAAATGTTCTTGACATAAGAAAAGTTCCCAACTGATTAAATGCAGTCCAGTTGGAAGTCATATTTTTAGTAATTTTTCAGCTTGACATCAAGCTGCTGCAGTGAAAGACGAGTTCAGTTTTACAGCAGAAGCTCCTGTAAAACTGACTGTACAGAAATGTTTCTCTTATCTTTGATTTAAATATGGCAATGACTGCTTAAAAAATGTAATCTAAGTGCACCTATTAATAATAGTTACTGATAATGGTGAGCATTATTTCTGATTAAAATACAGATTGCTTCTTCTACAGTTCAAGACAGATTTTGCTTTTGTTGCATTTGCACTCTGCTTATCGATTCAAAGAAGAGAGGGCTTCATTTGAAAAGGTGAAGTCATGTCTTCCCAACTGAGGTAATGCATCTAAATCAAACCTGGACACATATATCCAAGTATGTAAAGTGCATTTCTCAGCTTTCATCCTTACTTTTCTTTATTCAATAGAGATCTTAGATGTCAAACAAAGATCTACGCTGCTTTGCAACCAGTAAGAGCGCTGCAGCCCAGAGGAACTGGGAATAACGTTTTAAATGATCCCTGATCGAGTTAAGAGGGATCGTTTTCATGTAACACTTTTGTAATGATAATATCGAAAGCTTAAGTAATAAAGGAATGAGTGAAATCTGCCTCTTGTCAGCATTTACGATGAGAACCACTTGGGCGATTGGATGTCCTGCGATCAATGTATTCTCTTCTCTTATCATTAAGACTGCTCTTAACAGATTACAGCCCCCCTCCCAAAGATGAAGTCTTTTTCTCCTCCTCTCTCTCTCTGCTCCTCCTTCTGAAACACACACACAGCCTTTTCACTAGCTACAACAGGAGACTTGTCCCTCTTGCCCCGTTTTGTAAAATAAATCACTTTTTGCCTTTTAATTTCAACCTTTTCAGAACTTTTTTTTCCACACATTTGCGGAATTTAGATGGACTTCCTGGATTTGTTTGAACCGATTTAACGGCCTGACAGATGAACAGAAATGAAAAGGACGAAACTTCAGTTGAAGTTCTGGTAGAAAACTGAAGACAGTAAATGAAGATGGACCTGGTGATAATTGTCTTTTTTCTCCTGCTCTTTTGTGTTCATCCATCTGCAGCAGTGAGCGTCATTACAGGTAAGCTACTCTTAAAAACACAACACAAAGTCAAGAACATTTGAATTAATCTGAGGATCTGTTTTGTTTTGGCTTCTGGACTCTAAACTGGACTTTGATTCCTGAAGCAGACATATTTGAAGCGAGAGGTACACAGACAACATATTCAACATGTATCTCAGTATATGTTTGCCTCATTGTTAGAAACCAGTAAAGGAAAGATCCCACGTGTTTACTTGATGTCTCTTTTTTTGTGTGTCTGTCCAGGCCAAAGAGTGTGCAAGACAGGAAAAGGGAGACCTTGTTACAAACTGGCCTATTTCTCAGAGCTGCGCTGGAAGTTGAACTTTGAGGAGGCAGAGAGCGCTTGCAAACGAGACGGAGGCCAGCTGCTGAGCATCGAGTCTGCGTCCGAGCAGGAGGTCGTAGAGCAGCTCATCAGAGATCTTCGTCCCACGGATGGAGACTTCTGGATAGGTCTCCGGCGTAGACCGGGACATGAGGACAGCAGCTCGGACTGCTCGTCTCAGTACTACTGGCTGGACGGGAGTAAATCCTCGTTCAGGTAGGAGTGGAGGGGTCGCCAGGGGTCATTCGTGGGTTTTTTTTTTTATGAGCTCCACACAGTTACAGAATCATTTTTATCACAAACGCACTTCACTTTTGTTAAGTGCAATCGTTATTCCAGCCCAACAAAGTGTTGTCTGGTCCAACAGAGCAGCCGCCACAAACCTTACTTTAAAGAATCCTGAATCTCCATCTGTTGTCTTCTCTTTATCTGAGATCTTGTTGCAGGAATAAACGGTCCAGAAGGGAAACCATCTCTCTATCCTGGAAATCAATGTGTTTCCAGAACATAGGCCATATATGAAATTTCTAGTGGGTTCTGGGTCTTCCCCAGATTCCCCTTCCCAACATAACCAGAAAACCTCCAAATGAAGAAGATAAGATATCCGAGCTACTTAAATTGACTCTAATGTGTAGTTGCTTTACTTTGAGTTCCCAGATGACAATCTTTCTCCCCTGATTTGTAAGCCTGAGCCTGGCCACATGATTGAGGAAGCTCATTGCAGCCAGTTATGTCTTCTTCCTTCAGGCATGATCTATATGCCATGACAAAGGTCAAGATGCAGACAGTTGGTAAATCGAAAGCTTTGCCTTTTTGGCTTAATCTTTTTTCAAGTCAATACCCCAGGCACCTCATATTCCCACACCATCCTCCACAAAATGTCTCTATGGAAAAAAAGACATTTTTTGATTCACTAAACGCTTGTGGAAAGGACAATCAGACTTCTTGGCTATTCCACCAAGGTAAAGATCTGTATGAAATTCACAAAGGTCCTCCAGGAGCCTGAATAGTGCAAATCCTTTATAGTTGGAACAAACTCTCTTATGTTCTTTCTTTAAGGGTGTGAACAGCTCTCTGTGAAACTCTAAACGGGTCTATCAACTTGGACAGCTCTGTCATTTTAAAAGCTTTTAGCATTTCGGGATGAGTTTTGTTTTGTAGGAACCCAGAAGCTTCAGATCTGAATTACCCAAACTCCTTCAAGGCTTTCTATAAATTTAAATGTGCATATCCTCCATCTCCATTAGGTGAAACACAGACAGCTGAGCTACACCCACTCTGTGGCCATTGAATTAGGTACACATCAAAATCTAATTGAAATACAGCAGGAGTCATTAATCAAGATAACAACACCAGTAATGCTGCCAATAGTGAGTTCAATTTGGCAACAAAAAGAGAAACATGCCAGAGACAGGTTATAAAACTTGTTTTACTTACTCTAATGATTCTTGACTGACTCATTCTTGACCTAGATGATCAGCAGAATTTTCAAACTCAGTGTCTTGCAAAAGTAAGGAATACGTGGATTTTATGACCAAAACATTGTTGGTCTGGTTTATGAGGCAGGGTTTAGGCTGAATTATACAAACTTCATCTAATATAGAATAAATTAAAATTATTCTGGAAGACTTATAGGGAATCATCCTGAGGTAAAATAGTGTACAAGATGATTGCATAATATGGGAACAGGGAAATCAGAGGGGGGAAATCAATGTCAAAACAGATTTATTCAAAACTTTTGTTTTTCCAAGCTAAAGTTTCTATCTCAACATAAACGAGTTTCTGCTGCACAACTGATGCCCATCTTTCATAGTAGATCATAAAACTATTACGATTACCAATCATTTGGGTTATGAAGACAACTGATCAAAATTGACATTTGTAGGTTCTTGGAACCCATTTATCTCTTACATTTGTATTTATTTATCACAAGAAAATGTCCCCAAAACTACATGAAAATCTCTAGTTTTAATGTGACCAAAGGCGTAAAGGTCCGAGCTATATCAATACTTTTAAAAGACGCTAAATATGCTCCGACTGTATGTTCAGGAACTGGCACATTGATGAGCCGTCGTGCGGCTATGAGGTGTGTGTGGTGATGTACCACCAACCGTCGGCTCCAGCCGGTCACGGTGGGCTCTACATGTTCCAGTGGAACGATGACAACTGCGAAACCAAGAACAATTTTATCTGCAAATACTCAGGAGGTACAGCTGAAAACAAATTGTCTGTTGTTTCACTTTGAATATTTCTAAATTTCTGTATTTCCATATTCTTCACAGAAAAGCCAATATCATCCACTCTGTCTCCCAACTCCAGTCAGAAAGGTAAAAGTACATGACAACACACTGATATTGGACATTTATGCTACTTTAAGCAGCGCATGTATGTACAAAGCCTGAGACGTCATTATGTTGCAGATGTCTCCCTTCCATCTGCACTCCCATGGGATCCAAGTGACAACAACCAGGAAAGAAGAACAGGTCATTTAAAGTCTGCATTTACTGCCAAAAATTATACTGCTATCACAAAATATTAGTTTCTAACATCTGCTTCTGTCTTGTAGCCATGAATTTAGTTTACGTCATCATCCCCACAATCCCACTAATCCTGCTGCTTCTGACAGTGATGGGAGTTTGCTGCTTCAAAGTGCTGCTCAGACGGTGAGAGGCTAAAACTAAATTGCATAAAAAAAGACAACAGAAAATAAAAATAAAAATCAGTTATGCATATTGTGCTTGTAATTGTACAAGATAATAAACCTGTTTACGGGACTATTTTGATTTTGTTTCATTGAAAAGGCAACGTTTTGCAGACTTTAAATTTAACGCAGATTTTGAATTTAAAACCTTTTTGTTCTTGTGCAGCTCCAAATCTTACACTTTTTTGCAGCAGTTTTCAAGCTTAAACCCAAAAAGATAATCTCACCTTTCTTCAATACAGCAAGACAATATAGTTTTTCAATGTCATTTTCTGAAGAAAGGTTTTTACAATATGTTTGAGGAGATAAGTTCGATGGAGTTATCATTAGTTGTCAGCTAACGTAAACAGCAAAAACAAGCAAAATTAATTCCAGTTGGATAAAGAGAGCCTGTTAGATAGAGCTTCAAAAGTTGATTTTTACCATCCGAAAACACACCAAAATCCTAAAAAATATCTTAGGAATTTATGCAAATGCCCTATTAAATAACACTGCTCAATCAGCTGCTAAAATCAGATTGGTGCATTTCCTTAGGTTGTTATTTTTTCTATAAGTCCATGCTGAATTACAACCAACGCCAAACTGGACGATGGGACAGAAAAAGTTACCGTGTACAACCCACATTGAAAAATCATAATTGATATAAATCCAAAAACTGTGAAGATCAATTCAACAATGTTAACCTGAACAGCTCTGAAATAATTGGCATAGACAAAGCCTTATTTTCACCTCAGATATTTCAGACTGTGCAGCTTTGCTTGATGTGTTGCATTACATAGACTCTTAAAAGTTAACTGTGATCTGACTGGTGTGTACTGCAAGTAAGATATTGCCAACTGCTAACTATTCTGCAGAACCCTGATTCAAAAAGATATTTAACCAACAAGTAAATATACATCAACCCAAGTTGATGCATATCTTGGGTTGATGATTTTAATTTTAATTTGTACAATTAAAAGTACAAAACTGTACTTTTAATTGTTTTAAAAGTACAGTTTTGAATAGGCTTTATTACTTTGGGTGTTTTCCTTATCTCTGTGTGTGACACAGAAGGAGGAACGTACAGAAATCAGAAGTATGCCAAACAGAACCCAGTCCAACTACTACAGACGTCTACAACGTCATCCGCTCCCAGAAGGATGATGACCTGGTTTCTGCTCGCCCACAAACAAAGAACACCTCCTTTTTGTGCTCCTCTCCGGACACGCCGACAGGCGACTATGACAACCTTGGTGGAAGGGACACAGAAAGCGGCTTCGTAACCCTTGCCAGCACAGAGAGCGACTTCCTGAACTTTGACCTCAACGACCTCAGCCTCGGGCGTCGGGGCACCCGTGACTTCTACGACAGCAGCTTGGGTCGCTCGGCTAAGAGGGTGCTGAACGACGGCAGTCTGGGTCGCACCAAAAACAGGGAGTATTACGACAGAAGCCTGGGCCGCCGCACCACAAAGAGCGAGCATTACAGCGGCACTGTGTATGGAGATCACGGCCTATTTGACAGCAGCATCAGAGCAGGCACTGACTTGTATGACACCAGACTTAAAGCTGGAGGTCAAACGGGAAAGGTTGACCTCTACCAGACGTACGTTACCAGCGGCAGGCACGAGGTGTTTCAAACCAGTCTGGGAACATATGCAAACCGGAAGTCCTTCCACACAAACCTGGACTGCTACAGAAATGGCCTGAATCTTGACAGTGGAGGGAGGTACTTCAATGAACAGGAATGGATAAAAAGAGAGAGATACTGATTTTTCACTCGAGTCTGCTCACACCACTGTAAGAGCGACTGAACAGGGATAAAAGAATGGATAAAATTTGTGCATGTGCAAGACCTAATTGTTTTTGTTTTTTTTTTAATCTAAGGTTGAAAATAGTACTTTTGTTTCTACTCCAACCCTTACTTTGTTAGTTGTATGGATATTGAAGTTTGGTCATTTCAGTCAGACACATTTAAATAGTTAAAGCTTCGTGTATTGCCATGTATCTTGGCATATCTGATGCATAATTTTCAGGATGATGCATACTTTAAGTCCTGTCGTGTGTGTCTGATGAGATTCACTTTTGCGTAGTGATTTTGTAATTTGATGAAGATTTAAAATTCAACTTAAACCTGCATCAGAAGAGAGTTTACAGTGCTGGGGAAACTATTTGTCCCCTTTCAGGTTTGATCAATTTTTGTTTTAAATTAGACAAAGATAACCTGCGTAGCTAGAAAATAAAAAAAATGCCGTTTTATCATGGTGAGGTAATTTATAAATAGAAAAAGCAACTCAAATGAACACAGCGTTTTATGAAAAGGTAGTAACCTCCACTTGTAAACTTATGAATCAACTGTGATTTGCCACAGATATTGGCTGAAGTTAAAATTTCCCAACGCATGATTATTAAAGTAAATTTTAGAGGAAACTCAAGTAGAACCTGTTTGACAACATGAAGTAGGCTAAAAGATCGTCTATCAGTTTTAGATCTTGAAAGGGCTACTAAGCTTTTTCTAAAGCATTGGGACTCCAGCGAATCCCAGTGAAAACCATTATCCACAAATGAAGAAAATAGTACAGTGGTGAACCAAGACTACTTCAAGATTGCCTCAATGGTTCTTCCAGGTCATAAAAGAACCCACAACAGCATTTAAAGCAGAATCCTGAGACAAAAAACCCAGCAATGCTGATCAAACAGGACACAAGGCCAGTCGCAAGTTTGTCAAACATACATGATAATTTGATCCTCAAGACTTCTGGGAAAATATGAAGTGGATTAAAGAGAAAATGTGCAACTAACGTCTAGCATAAAACTGACAGTTATTTTATCAAAATGACATTTGGTGACACCCAAACATGGTGTTGCTGTGTGATATTTTGTGGTTATTTTTTCTACTTTAGGACCGAAAGGGGCAAAATTCCTCCCCAGGAATTTAGGTCATTATTTAAAAACTGCATTTTGTATTTAATCTTGTCATCTTTTTTCTGAAATTAAATTTCATTCTATTAAGAAAAACAGGTAAGAGTCAGAAATGGTTAAAAGAGAAGACATAAGAGGGGAAATAGTTTTTCACAGAACCGATTTGGGCTTTAATTTATGAAAGCCTAAATCGTCAAATAATTATCATCTGAAATGCGAAAGTAGTTGCCCAATGCAATCAGCAGCCAGATGTGAGTGGATCTTCACCAGTACAGTCAGCGCATCTGCATAACACAACATGAGGGTTGTTTGAGTTTTATTAGCATCAATTCTGTTAAAATCTTTTATTCTGTGCTGCCTTAGAGATGAGATTACAAGTGCTGCAGAATGGGATGCATAAAACAGCAATCCTAATATGTATAAGCTTTGTATGTTCCTTGCAACCTCAGCTGACCTCTTTTAGTTCATTGGTCATTTGGGGTTTAGAGATTAAAAAGTCTGAGTGTGGATCTCGTGACGCTGTAATCCATCTCTCCTCTCACTTTGAGATTAGCTGCTCCTGTGCTGCATAATCTCATCTCACTAATATGAATATATGTCAGTTCTTGCTGGTAGAGAGTTTCTAAAAGAAACCAATGCATGGAAAAAGTAAAACAACTTATTTGGACCCCTTTTCAAGTCTATTTTCAGTTTGGTAATGATATGATGGAATGCTAACCTGATGAAGACTTAATCATATCTCAGGGCCTGTCTATCTGATCCATTCACATCAAGAGGGACAGCTCACCAATTAATACAAAAAGTGGCAAAAACAAAAAAAATGCAACTTTCAGAGGCAGCTGACGCTATTTGAAGAAGAAAAACAACTAGATTTGATCAAGTTCAGGATCTTTAAAAGAGAAACTTTAAAAAAAGATGTGCAACAGTCTGTTTGCATGAACTTGTCATGCAGACCTTGCATTGTCACACAGATATTGATGTCATGAATAATGTTCACAGTGCCTGAAAAACGATTTTTTTTAAACCAGACGCATTTCAGAATAAACTCTAAACTGTTTATTATGTTTTTGGATCCTGCCTTAAATTGTACAACTTCACAAAACTGTTGTGTGATTTATCATTATCCTTTGCCTACAGAGTCAGTTCAAACGTGGATCCTGCTCTGAATTCAGACGAAGTGGCTCCAGCCTCGCCATACATAACAGCATGAAATCGAAGAGAATGAAAGAATGCGTTTTCACTATTATTTAGAATGTGTAATCCTTTGACAACTCTCCTGCAAGTGAGATGAGTTTGTATGATTGCTAGATGAAAACATCTTTAAATAAAATGATCAGAAATGAACCACTCAGGTCATCAAGTGTTTTTTAGTGTGAGAAAAAGGAGAAAGCAGAGTTGCACACACAGTCAATCATGACTTTATTCACATTATTCACAAGTTAAATTAACACAGTTTTCCTACACATTTGTCGTTTCCAAATTTCATACTTCTCCAGATTCGTTTGGTCAATATTTTTGGCAGAAAGTTTTGAAATACAAAAACCAAACTTTACCATGGATTTATAGAAGAAATATTTGCAGTGATCACTCTTCAAAGATGGAACCTGCAAAACCCAAACACTGGTAGGAGAAGACTGTAGGAACCCTATCAACAACACACCCTCACTCATTTACCGTTTCCACACAGGCAGACGTTACATAACTCGGATCAAATGTTCTCTTCATTTCAGGCCACATTTTCAAGTAGAGCATAAACAGAAAACAGTTGGATTTGTTGTGCCGTGGCCTCTTAAGGTTGATTTAGTGTAAAATCCTGTTTCTGCTTACGCCTTTAAGACATGAATGTACAAACAAACACAAAAAAGTAAAAAAAAAAAAAAAACAAGCTTTGCTGATGATTGGCAATCACATCTCCATTCAGAACATCTTCTGACAATCGCTCCAGCCCAAAGTAGACGTGACGTCTTTAAAGGGTCCGCTAATTCACACTTTTTTTTTTTTTTTTTACACAAACCACACCACATGCACACTGACACACAAACACCGGCTGCGTGGCTCGGATGCAACAGACTCCTAATTTATTTTTTTTTTTTTCAATAATCTTGGATGGGGTAGGGAGAAGGATCAGGTCCAAAAGTCAGCCGTGGGCCCGCTTACGAGGCTGCTTTTGTCGCCGTGCTTTCAAGATCATGTACCGTCTGTAGGTGGTGTGATGGTCTGATATGAATGGGATGTAGAAAGCTCTGAAGAGAGGAGAGGATCTGAAAAAAACAACAACAACTTATTAAAACATGCATCCGTCTTTTAACTTCTGTGAACATAGAAATAAAAGCATGTTTATTTTAAATATCAAGTGTAGAACAACTGGAAATTGTCAGAAAGTCCGTAGTAATCTGTCAAAGTACCTTGAAGCTTGAAGGAAAGGCTTATAAGCAACGACCGACCACTCTTCTTTACTGGTTGAGTAGCGAGGCTCGAGTGGAGTTTCCTCATCCGTCTCCAAGTCCACGAGATAGTGGCACTGTTTTATATCTACCTGCACAAAAAGGAAATTTCACAGGTCAGTGAAGTTATTACCTACACAATGCCAAACATCATTATGTCTAATGGGCTCACATATCTGGAAGGCTCCTCCAGGTTCTGGTCGTTCATATTGGCTGGAATGATCTGCGTGGCCTGAGGCCCAGAGGCGTACGGCTGGGGAAGCTGGCCCTTAAACGCAGACTGGATGAAGTGGAGCTGCCAGCTACAGAAAAAGATGAGACTCTTAGCAGAAAAGATAAGAAATCATCCACTCTAATTATTAAAACAGATACAGAAATAAAAGTATTTTTTATGTAAAACCCCTTCCAAAACTGTTCTGGTAATTGGATAATAATGAGAGGAGATAATTATGATTTGGCAGCAAAAACTGCAGAAGAAGTAGCTTAGGCAATTAAATACCTACACACACACACATACACACAGAGCTTAAGGAAAAGGATAAATCAAGACAACAGTATTTTATTTGAAACTAACGTCACATCTGTCTCATCAAAATTCCAGATTTAATACACTCTTAGTACGTTTTAAACCTATAAATCTAAAAGTTCACCATGGAATTACGCGGGACACTTCTGCAGAGCTTAAAGAGAGCAAAGAGAAATGGATGGGCAACTAGAGGATGGACAAACCGAAGGAAGGATGGATGACTGACAAATGGAATGGATGGAGAAACAAGTAGCAGATGGATGAATGAATGGCAGGATAGATGGATGAATGAACAAAAGTTTAAATGGATGTAGAGATGGATGAGTGGAACTTGTTGGCATTGAGACGAGGAATAAAATATAGAAATTGCTGTATTTTTTCCATACTGTATTATTGTTAGAATTTTATTTATGTGTTTTTAAAGACTGTGACATTCCTGTGACATTATCAATCTTTTGGTAAATCTGATGCAACCACACTTGATGGTTTATTACTTATATCATGCATTTCTGTTATCAAACAGGATGTTTTAAGACTTTCTCACAATCACACCCAGAAATGCAAAAAAATCTGTTACTAATGAGCACTAACTTGTGAGGCAGAAGGAAGCTGCTTGGGAAGCGGTACCACTCTTTCCCGACACACACACTGACTGGTCGGCCGTCGGGGACGGAGTGCAGCGTGGGATCCTTGGCGATGCGGTGAAATTCTGGATACAGGTCCAGAGGAGCATGGTACCCTGTAAACACGACATAAAACTAAATCTGACCTTACTTTGAGCTGACAGGCCTGCTACCAAGACTCTTGTTTGCGCACAAACCTCTGAAGAGAGCGACAGAGCGAGACAGTGACAGCACTGTGAAGGCAACGACAGTGGTTAAAGCCAGCCAGTTAGAGGAAACGGTGTAGTGCTCCAGTCGGTATCGCTGGAACAGGAAGTGGTAGCATTTCTGTGGGAAAAGAAACTAAGATACTTTATCTGCTTCAACAGTGTCAAAAAATGAAGCCGTACACTTGGGGAAAAAAGCAAATGATACCTGTAAAGACGAGAGCGCTACTGCCCCACTGAGGCAGATGAGAGGGTAGATGGGAAAGAGGAAGCGCTCTTCCTTGTGAGGTCTAGTGAAGAAAACCAACATCCACAGATACATGGGAGAAAGAGTGAGCCAGTATGGGCGGCCCAGGTTCTGAACTGCAAAACAAAAACAAAAAAGCAACATGTTAAATCACAATCTGATCTGATTATTAGTATAAACACTTTAACCATGTGTAATGTTTAACTATACCTGAACTAAGGGGAACTAATGTGCAGAAGAGCACCAGTGGATGGGTATGTTTCTTAAGTGAGATCTTGTCGCAAAAAAGTCACAAATGGAAACCTGAGTGCTTTGATCACCGTTAAAGTAAAAATTAAACAGAAAAGAAGCGAGTCAGGCCTCACCATTGAACCTGTGCAGCAGCGTCTCCATGAGAGCGGTGAGCGGCAGGGAAAACAACGCCAAAACAAACACCAGGTTGAAGTTCAGGACTCCATTCAGAAAGTAAAAATGCCACGGCTCTGTACCTGAGAACACAGAGTGACACAAACAGAGTCAAATTATCACGTAACTGTGAGTCACTCTAAATGTTACTCACAACTACCCATCAGATCGAAAACCTATTTCAAGGCATCTATCATGAAGATATGCAACTACATTAAATGTGGATACAACATGTAATATGTCACATACATAATCTGATAATACACTTGAACTAATGTTTGCTCTGTTCAGTATTTCATCTTTTTCTATAATTAAAAAACAGAGCAGTAGAATCTTTGTTATTATTATTTGTTGTATTATATAATAATTTATTTTAATCTGAATAATTAGATGCAAAATTTGACAGTTAGCTATCTGAATTCATTAGATGTTAAAAATAATAAACATGTAAAAATTTACGATTTGTTCCTGTGCAGTAGGACGATCAAGAACATTTCTGAGGTTAAGTTGCTATGTAGTTGGGGGCACAAAGACAGTTTAGTTTATTCTGCAGCCTAAGTATTTTAAATTAGGTAATGATTCCACTTTATAGTCCAGAACAAAGTGGAAAAATACCAGGGAAAAAAAATAATTAGATCAGATTTGACATTTTTATAAACACAAATCTTGTCATTAATGTCCACCTCTAATTTTTAAATTGTGTGTCAAATAAATTAGACATGTACAAATAATTATTATTTGACTTAAATTCACTATTTTTATTTCAAATTGAAACATAATAAAAATGATTCATGCCTCATTTATTTCTTGGCAAGCTAAAGTATGAAGGTTTTTTTTTTTCTTCACTAAACTTTTCTAAAGCAGCCATTAAAAATATTATAACATTAAATCCTTGCACTAAACAATGAGCCATGTTCCTCACAAACAAAATTATCTGATTGTCTAAAGCATTCTATTGAAATATTAAATTATAATGTTCCCCTCAGTTGTTTATTTTTCTGACATAATTTTTAAAGGAATGTGACGAAGAAAATGAGACATGGCTGTGATGTACTTGTGCAAATTACCATAAAGATCAGGCCCATGTTCTGTAAAGACATTGTAAAGCAGGATATTGAGTGGAGCAATCACCAGTTTGCCATAAAAGAAGGAGTCCACTGCCACCAGAGGGACCTTGAAAATGTGAGCAAGATGGAGACAAAAAATAAATAACACAGTTCTTCATTCATGAACACAGAAAACATGAAAAAGTGCATGCTGGGTAATTTTCTGTATAACTGAAAAACAAAATGTAATCTCTCTCTAGTTTGACTCAAAAACAAGATGGAGATTTTTCTAAAAGTTTACTTATTTCACAACATATTACAGTGAATAGTCTCACCAGCAGCAGAAGCAAAGCAAGAGCGCACCAGATCAGGAAACTCTTCCACTCTCTCTTTATCACCAGCAGGTCGAACGCGATCGGAAACCTGCACAGATGATAATTAACACACCGCCATTCAGATATTCTGAATTTTACTTTTAAAAAGGGAGCGTTACTATTTACCATCTTACCCAATCAAGGCAGAAAATGGCCAGCCAACGATTCCACCGGCGGCCACGCCCATAACAGCCAGTGGTATCGAGTCCTGAAACCAGCCCGTCATGGCAATCAGAGTCGTGTACATGCAGAAAGAGGAAGGCAGAAAAGCTGAGGAAAAAGAGGAAAAAAAATAAAAACGATGAATGGTTAGGAATGAAAAGCTGACGAAAACCTGACAAAGATTCAGACCACATTCTAAGAATACTAACTGGAGGCTTGTTCTTGTTAAAAAGAGAGTCATAGTACGCTAGCTACGGTTAATGAACCGATACAATCCACTGTCACCGCATCCTCATCCAGAAAGAGGGATTGCTGCTGCATCAGGGATTTGATGCCATCGGCTGAGTTTCCTTACACTTTGCAAATTGGTGTAATAAATTCAACTTGACTGGATGGTTCTCTAACTAGGATAAAATTGGAATGCATGTAACTGACTCTGAATCTGTCTACATGATTGTATTAGTCTGACTATAAATATCTGCATTTAAATTGGTCTTCTAAAGTGCCTCTTGTTCCATATTGACGCTGTGTAGATAAAATAATTCAAACTGAATTAATGTCATCTAAATGATGTACAAGGATGTACATCATCAAGGATGTACAAGCAAATTGAGGGAGCATGGAGCGAGCAAGTCGTCTTGAACTTGTGCAACTACAAGTCTTAAAGACAGAGTGAGTGCTCTGGAAAACCACCTTAAAATTTTTTAAATATATATATATATATTTTTTTTTTTGAAATTTTCAGAATTTCAGCCAAACATATCAGGAAACATTCAGGACATGTTTCTGTATTCCCAAAAATACTTAAAAAAGTAAACAAAGCCTGAAATCTAAGGAATGCTGGCTACACAGAAGCTGTTTTTTGGGTTGGAAATTTTTCTGTTTCAAATTGTAAGCAGACGGATATAAGGAGAAATTATGTAATTATTAATAATACCATAACTTGCATAATTGTACACTGTGACAGTCACACCTACTCCGACATGTTCAGTAAAAAACTAAATACCCACTGCCCAGTTAATTTATTAAGTCAGACAGAACATGTATTCCTTTAGCTTTTAATTTCTATAATAGGTAGTTTATTAAGCTGCTACAATTATACATAAAACAATAAAAACTGATAAGCTAGGAATTAATCTGACCAACCTGCCGAGGAGCAGAACATTCCCGTGCTCAGGACAAGAAATGCCAACATCAGCCTCCCCACATGCAAACCAAACTTCTTACAAACTGCCCTGCATCACAGCAAACAAACAAATCAAACACTTTACTTCAACTCCATACAACTTACAAAACGCATTCAAGCACTGCCTGGCCAAAAACGAAAACAAATCTCACGATACTGAAAGGGATCTGACTGTTCCTTCAGTTTACCAGAAATCAATCTCAGCAGAAACCTTCAGTGGGGACCTCATGCTAAAAGAAAGCATCGCTTTAGAGAATAAGACGCTTTGCAGAGGATCAGTTCAAACATGGCGACATGGTAAGTTGTTTTTGTTGTTTTTTAACCAGGCAGTGGAAAACTTAATATAATTTCAAAGTGCTGTATTACCATCTTGTATTTAGGGGAACAAACTCACTTGTAAAAATAGAGTTCACAGACACAGCAGCAGAATGCTAACACACACCGCACAAAGTAGAAGACCAACACCTGAAACACAACATAACACAAGTTTTTAAATCAAAGGGCATGTTTTGGCATCATGATTTGCAACAGTGTGTATTTTTACATAAATAATTCCTACCTTTAAAAAGACAGAGTTCTTAAAGACATTGTTCTAATAGTAAGGCTGAGGTTCATGTGAACATAGGCCATTTATTATGGAAGAAACTCTTGATGACTCTCAGCAAAACATAAAAAAAATTTAAACAGCTACATCAAAAACTGAGATCACAGCTTGTGATACCAACCTTGTTAGTCTGTAGAACATGGGCATGCAAACAAGCAGGGAGCGCATGCAGCCATAAGTAAGCGTAGGATCTGATGGCATACAGTGGGGAATATTCCCATGTTTGCATTCCTGTCCCATACAAGAGAAAGTGCATCTGTGGAAACACAACGTGACAAAAACCAACTGAAACGATGCAAAATGTGGAAGACGGGTTTCAAGGCAACTTTGCTAATTTTTTGCATTATTAACGACTTCATTTTCTATCGGAAAGTGGAACTTACAGGCTCCCAGTAGTTAAACGTCTCATCGCAGTCTGAGATGTTGCTGAGCAAAGCAGCACAAAAGCGTGCAGAGAGGAGACATTTAAATGCAGTCGACCCCTCTGGAGCCCACACCTGCCCTCCACGACTTATCGGCCTGTTGGAAAAAAAAGAGAAAACATCCTCGTTTAAAACTTGTTTACAGTCAACATGCATAAGACTCAAAAGATGCACTGAAGATATTCAAAAGGTTATTAAATATTAACAACTTATTTAAAAAATATATAAATTTTCAAATGTAATTGCGCTCCACGTGGGCACTATGCTCATTACAGTGTTTTACTAATTAATATTAACTATGGATTTACCTTTATTTTAAAAAAAAATAATCAGAACAAAATAAAAACTGTATTGTCAAAAAACTTAAAAAAATTATATATATATATATATATATATATATATATATATATATATATATAATATATAAATATATAAAAACAAAGTACATCTCAGAAACAATTACTAATGAAGAGCCTGAAAGACTGTAAATATATTACAGTGTCTCAGCAGCATACCTCTATATTTTTAAAAATAAATATACATCATGCAGGTGCATCCAGGCAACAATACACTTTTTCCTCCCTCCTTTAGTTTGAGTGCTTATCCTATTTTTTTATTGTTTTTTTTTTCTTCTTTTTTTTTCCTAAGGTATATCAATGTCAGAATACCAATGATGAAAGAGTTATACTTAATTCTTCAACAGCAATAATGGTTTCATTTTGTTTTAAAAAGCAAATGATTACCTCACAAGCAGTAGTATTTTTCTTCTAGACTACAAAGTGAAAATATGGTCCTTGACCATGCCCATTCAGAGTCAGCACATACCTTAGCAAATATATATTTTAATATAACTGGCTTACTGTGCCTAAAAAGAGTAATTTATTCGGGAATCCTGCATGTCCTGATAATATTTTCATTTGTAAAAGGCGTCTTCTAAAGACTAAACAATACCTGAGCTTTCCCAGTATTACAGTGGGAACATTTATCCTTCCAACTCATCCTTTATGAGTTGGAAGGATATGATCGGTGTTGTAAGTCTTCTTTGTTTCACATCTTTCATTAGATCGGATTAGATAGACGGCTCAGATCCAGCCCAGCGCTGATCCAATACTGCTTTGTTATTAAGACACGTCATCCCATAAACCTGTCAACATTTTATCTAGATGGCTTCAGTGAGGTAGCAAAAACAACAATCGCTGGCATGACGGTGGCGCTGGAACTGACACCGAAAAGCTGTTGTCTTTATAAAAATGCGCCGTAGCATCTGGGGAGAATGAATGAATCTGATAAGGTAAACCCCCTTTTTGAACCGCAACAGCTACAGATCTACAATGCGGAACTGCGCTACAATTAACAGTCTGTTAGGGGTTTATTACCGTGAGCAGACAGTCTTATTAATTATCCAGTGGACGTAGGCAAATATTTTTTTATCGCTTTGTTATTGTCAGAACTTGCTATGAAGTAGCTAGCTGGCAAAGCTAGCTGTCAGTCACTCCATGGAGCTCACAACACCGTAGACTCAAACCTCTCTTCTTCGGGCTCGTACTCACTCTTGCCGGGTCTCTGTTATTTTGCTTTCATCGGTGGCTTTCTCTTCTTTCGTCGGCCGGGCTTCGGCTGGGACGTTCACGTTGTTTGCATCCTGTCTGCTGCCTCGTCTGGCTCGCTGCCGAAGCGCCTTGGCCGCCATGTTTCACCAACGCTGCTCTGCCGAGTCGCGCTTCGGTCATTTTCGTCCCTTTCCGGTTATTGAGCCCAACCTCGGTTCTTCTTCTCATAGACGTCGTGTAGCGCATCAATATTAATAATTATTGTATGAAGCAAGAATACATCGTTTGCTTTCTTTACATAACTTAGAAAATTAAAGTAAAATAATTATTTAAAAGTTTGATGTCTACAGAGAATCTAAAAATGGGGCTTTATGTACAATTTGTACATAAAGAGAAAGAACATATTAAAAGCAAAACAAAAATGCATCTACATAATAAGGAAATATGAGCAACAAAGTTTATTTTTCTTAATAGTGAATAAAAAGCACATACTTTTGTGAGTGACGGGTTAAAAGCAGAGAAGAAAAGCTTGGACTACGTCATTGGACAGGGTGAAAAGTGGTCATTAGTCAAATTGATTCACTGTAGACTGCAGAAACAAAGTAGTTCCAGAAGGTGGCAGTAGTGCAACAATTAGAAACTTAAGTTTGTATTTGTAAATAATTAGTTCTGTGACATATACGTGTGTTTAAGAAATGCTTTGATTTTCCGTGTTTTGTAAAGGTGAAATGCTCTTTTTCTCACAGTCCTTGATTCATCCATTCATAACTTTACTGGACTGAAAATAAACAGATGATGACAAAGTGCAGGAGGGAAATTTAATAGGATTTGCTTCTTTATATTCCTATATAAACATGTTATTGACAGATTTTTTTTTATTCTTATACTCGTTAATATTATTAATTGATATTTTCCTTAATATCAATGACAAAAATGATAATGATTCTGATTATGAAACTATTTATTTTAGGAAGGGGGTGGGGGAGTCTGTCTGTATTATTTTTAACATATAAGAAATAAAGCCTTGAAATTATCTACATTTTCTATTTTATAATAATTTTCAGTTGATCAACATTTCAGCTTCAACAGTAGGTTTATTACATGGTTATGAGACAAACATACACTGAATGATTTCAGTCACATTTCAAATGCATAACACAACAACCACATTTTCAACCATTGTAAACATCTGACTATAGAATATCTAATAAATTTTCTTCCAGCTAAAAGCACATGTGGAGAACAAAAATGTCTGAACTATTCTAATGTCTGAAGTGCTACCTGACTGTGACCTGCATACGAGACGAGAGCAAAACCTCCAGCTCTTTGTGAAATGTCAGGGCTTGTGTGTGTGACAGGGCGTGTGTGTGTGAGTGGTAGATGAGTCTGTAACAATAACTGGTCTGACTCAGGTCAGGGTGCGAGAATGTGTCGATGAGTTTAACCTGCTCCACAGTTCCGCAGCTAGCCTCTCGGACAATAGCGTGGAACATTTTCTCCTCCCACGCCGGCCCCGTCCAGAAGCTGATGTCAAAGGAGAAGGACTCTGGGTACAGGGAAAAAGGCTGAAAAGACGTCCCTGGTGGTGGACGGAGAGAAAACTGTTTTAGGAAGCGTGGGTCGTGACTCCAAAGCAGACGCCAGTCAGGCAGTGAGAACAAGAGAACAGCGAGGAGGTCTAAATTTAGAGATGCGCTGACAGTGACGTGGTTGTTGCCGTCAGCTGTGTTCCTCGCAAACACCTTACCGATCAAACCCATCGGCTGAGCCACCAGATGTAGGCTTTTCTCTTCTGTAACTATGGAGACCCCATAGGGAGAGAGGAGCGCTTCCAGCTCATGTCCTATCAATTTAACAGGCTCATTTTCCAAAGGGAAAACACCTGTGAGGAGAATCTCGTGAAAGGCAGGCAGAGCCCAAAGGCTGATGGGCACGCTCCTGAACACCACTCCACTAACACCAAACAACAAGCTAGACAACCCGTTACAGCCGTCACAGGCTTCTTCTGTCTTACTGCCCTCAACCTCAGACCTTTGATCAATTTCCTCTTGAGGCTCTGCATTACCACTAGTATCTGTGTTTATGAGGAGCTCTTCCAGCTGAGGAAGCAGTGATGGACGCAGCAGGTAAAGACCCTCTTCCACTTCAAAATTAAAATCATGGCAGCACACAGGCTGTAAACTCTCAGTTCCTTTACTCCTCATTCTGTCCGCCTTGGTCGGAGGTGAAGTGGCTTTTATGTTGGAGCAAACTGCATCGTCTTCTTGAGTCTGAGAGGTGAGTTCTTTCTGAAGCAAGTGGATCCAGTAGTACTGCAAACTGTCAAGATCGTGGCAGCATGTCTGCAGTTGCTTGGCTGATATGAGGAGGGGGAAAGGTTGTCTTTTCATGGACACTGGCCAATGTTTCCCTAAGCCTTCGAGAAGAAAGTCTTGCACCAACTTGACAGGATGGATGGAATCTGAGGAGAGGAACCCCCTAAGGAGAAAAAAGAGATAGTAAGACCTGCTTACCTATTCACAACATATCATAAAAGTCTATTAGTTCCATTACCTGGATACATAATCACTGAGCTCAGCTGGTATGTTATAGTGGACAATCTCCCCTTCAACAACCTCCTCCATCTGTACTATCTGGACAGGAGTGAATGGGGCGCTGCGCGAAAACACATGCAGCAGAGCTTTCTCCACGTGAAAGCCTTTATCCTGGCTCCTGCACAACAGCAACACGCTTGTCAAACAACGCTGGATCCCAAACACACACCGCAAATACCCAGAGGACACAATCCAACACTTCAACACTCACCTTGACTTCTTACCTGTATCCAGTGGACTTGTAGCTTGGGAGGTTGTCACTTTCAAACTGTCGCACAGCGCTGAGAATGAGGTGAGCTTCGGCTGCCATGGCACTCACCTGCCAGCTGTTGTGCCACTCGCGTTTTGGCTGGTCAGCCGGAGTCCCGCCTTGCCCGTTGCACAGGGAGACGTGAACCTCCCCGTCTCCGGCCAGAACCTCAACACAACTGGTGGAAGTTTAAAAAATAGGAATTTAAATTTGACATCTTTCAGAACTCCTGAGGACTTCATAAAAGTTGAAACATATTAGACCCTCGGGGCCTTGAGTTTAACACATTAGCTGTACAGTATCAAAAGGTTTAGGTCTGAATATGCTTGGAAAAACAAAATACAGTTTTAGACTATTTTTTTATCGTCCATTACTGCTTACATCCATCTATTCATTTATCAACTGATCCATTTGTCTGTCTATGTAGTTATCCATGTGTTTGTTCATCCATACAGTCATCTATTTATCCATCCATCCATTCATAACTCCATCAGTTTGTAATCAATCCATCCATTCACACATCCTCCTGTTCATTTGTTTATCCATTTACTCCTCCATCCATACATTTGTCTATCCATCTATTCATTCAGTCATGTTTGTTTGTCCATTCATTCAACTTTATCAACCATCTGTCCATCCCACCATTAAATGAACATCCATCCAGTCTAACATCCATTTGTTTGTCCATTCATTCATCATAAGAAAAATATGTGAATAAATCCACCATGAATTTCTTTTTCAGTTAGTTTAGACTTTTAGTTCAGAGCGAGAACTGTGCTGACTTCAGTCAAGAGAAGTTTGGTATGTGGACGTGAAAAATTGCATGTGAAGACAAGATGCCGTGAGATGCGGTTTTACCTGAGGAAGAAGTTTTTGAGAAGCTCTCTGTTCTTTTTCACCCCACTCTTCCTCCCACAGTGGGGGAAGTTGAACACCACTCTGTCAAACACACGGCCTTTCAGAAAGGCGCACTCCCCCAGCTTTGTGCAATCCACCTCAAACAGGACACTTCCTCCTGAATAACAAGGACGAGAAGTAATCACAAAAGTCCAGAATAAAGTCCGCTCCGGCAGCCACAGATACTGGAGCTCTCGGTACCTGAATCCTTGATGGTCTGGATGTTGGCGGCGGCTCCATCGTGCCGCAGTGCCTCCTCTTGATGCTGCAGGCAGGTGGCCGTTATGTTGCTCCCCGACTCAGAGTCCAACTGACACACGGAGGAGGAGAAGGAGAAGTTCCCCTCTCCCACCAGCAGAACGGACCGTGAAGGTGACATGTCACACACACTCGAGAAGAGAGGCTTAAATTATGAATTTCCCCAACAAGTTGCTCTGACGTTGTTCTAGCTTTTGATGCTCTGAGACAGAAATAATGAGACGACGACAAGCGACAGAGACCACTTTCCGTCCTGCTTCTTAACGGTCTAATCTAAACTCACCAGCTGCATTTTTAATCAAACCTCCAGCGTTTAAGCATCTAAAACGGACACATTTTGGTGGTTCGCTATTTTCACTTTGTTTTAGAGATAAACAAATGACCTTCCTGTACTCGTCGCTGCTGCAGCGGTACTTACAACTGAAGTCACCTGTGGCAACCAACGCTGGTGTCGCACATAAATTGCCCGACGAGAAACAAATCTCCAGCGACGTTACGCAATTTTCCCTGAACTCTCACGTCCTAAAAGCACCAAATCGTGGTCCTATAAATAAAAAAAAAAATAGTCATAGCTGTGATTTCCTCATCGTTGCATAGAAATGCGCTAATTTTTAGGCCTCGTGTGTTCATCATTATGTGTATGGAGGGAAGGATTTGCAGGAGCGACTCACAGCATCTTGAACAGGGAGGAATCTACAGCATCACTTGATCTGCATCATCAGTTCGCATATTTTAAGTTATTCATTTATTTAGGAAGTAAATACCCTTGACAGTGTTTCTGATGTGCGGTTCCCAGTTTCGCTCGGGATTTTAAGGTACTCCGATTACATTAGGATTTTTTAATGAAACAGTATTCACCTAAACATACCAGATTTTACTGATGCTAAGGTCATGCTAGCTAACGGAATTGCTGCACTTAGTCATGGAACCAGTGCCTATCCATCTCATTCATAATTGTATCTATAATTTCCCTATTAATCCGTTTAAATTTTCCACACAATACATTCTGCATTTCCTCTCTCTGGGGTTTTGGTACAAATCTGTTTGTTATTTTGTCTGTGGCTAACTCTACTATTTCTATGTTCTACTTATCTTGTTCTAATGCAGGATCCCAGATTTCTGCTGTATAAAAGTGCCTTTAAATGTAGCAGGTATGCAAATAAATGTGTCATAAACGTGCTCTTTGTCTCTACGTC